TGAAGTTCTGTTGTAGGAATCAGAACAAACTTTTTTTAAAATAAAATACTGACTAATACTTCTATTTGAAATGTGCTACTCTGTCTCATTGTAACAGACTTCAGAGACTCTGCATCTTTCATGGTGTTATATGGAGCACACGCATTTCTGTGTTTGGAGTCGTCTTTCCTCAGTCCTTCTTTATTTCCATTAAAACCATGTACTATGGCTAGCTTTTTCAGTTTACAGATAAAAGCAATTCAGTGTGATAAGTTTTGAACTGTACACACACACACCTTCTAAATTGAATATACATGCTTAAAAAAGAATTTTTCAGAGCTCAGGGGATGTCTGTGGTAGTTGAGCAGAAGAATGTGCTGTACATTCAGTAATACTAAAAACACATATTTTTGACAGTTTATTTCTTTATGAAAGAGTTTGTGACCCTAACACTGTATGTACTTTTGGTGAACTATAGATGAAAGAATCTTAGGAGAACATGATTATAATCCATTACACAAAGTTTTCATCTTTTAATGTATACTGTTTGTGAGATTATTTCCAATCATAGTTGGTGATCCCTGAATTCTACATGTATTTGTGCATATTAAGAATGGATTTTGGTGTCAGATGGGTACTAGACTCATCAGGGAGATCACTTTGTAAGTTATATAAATGTCTGATCACTATGTTATACACCTGAAAATAATATAATACTATATACCAGCTGTAAAAAAAAATGGATTTTTTACAAATAAATGTCAAGACAATTTCTTACTTATAAAGATTCTTTTGTCTGTTTTTATTAATAATTACTGTAAAAGTCTTCCATATTAGATCAGATTTCTAACACTACTCTTAAAAAGTACTTCATTTAAGGACCATGTCATTTTCTGTCATTCTTCCCATGTGTTATTTTGCTGTTATGTCCTTCCATCCTTGAATTGAGAAGGAAATATTCTGAAGTGTTAGGAACATAGTCAATTTTTCATAAATTAACATAAAAATAATAGGTAAAAAGTTAACTTTCTTGTAGTTCACAATGATTTTTGGCAGACATGTAAATTTATCCATTAAGATTAATTCTGACTAAAATTGAGAGCACACTGTATACCTCTTATGGTGAGTTATTTATAACCATTTTATTTCCTTCATTTTTTTCTGCTGAGACAGTTTTCTCTTTGTAAAGTTAGTGAAACCTGGGCACTAAAAACAAGAATAGTATGACACCCATTTTCTACTTCCCTAGCATTTCTGATTTGCTGATTCTTTTTAATGTACCTGAAATTGGGATGGGTCTTGCAAATGATAATATTTATTTACTGTTGTTGATGGCAATAATAATGGCACTTCTCATCACCTGTACAGCGTGAACTTAGAGGTCCTTCCTAATGGCAGAGTAGGCAATTGCAACCCCTAGACATTTTAATTCAAGTTGTGTAAGGACTGACCGTTAAGGAAGGAATACAAGTTCTGGGTGTTGTATGAAAGTGTCTACTGACCCCTGGTAAGGAAAAGAGAACACCACCACTATAAAACTTGCAGAACAAACAGGCGTCAGTAGTTTATAAGGAAATAATGGAGACCCATTTTGGAACAATTTTTAAACAAATGGTCTTTATGATATATAAAGGACATTATTATGTAGAAAAATACAGACATTAACTACTGAAGTGACTGACTTAGAAGCACTGGATTCTGAATGTAAAGTTTTAGAACTACGTTAACCACTTTATTTGGTTAATTTTCCAAATTAGGAGAGCTCTTGGAATAAATATAAAATAAAAATCCTAAGTGATAAAGCATTTTGGCCATTCAATTGGCAACATTTTTTTCTTAGTACCACATGAAATGGTGTTAATAATGTATTTGTATCTTCCTACACTATTTCAACTCATCATTATCACTCTTTTCACCTCTTCCCAGTCACAGGGTTGCAAAAACTGTAGAGTCGGAGAGGTGGGGAGAGTTGGAATATCAAAAGTAATTGAGTTTTAACTACAAAGAATACTTCCAACTTGTTTTTCTCTTTGGCACAAATAATCATTTAGTCAAGATAGCCTTCTGAGTATTCTGTATGTGCTTAACTCCAGATATATTAGAAGACCTAAATTATGCTGAATTTCTGAATTCCAAGCTTTCTTCTCTTTGGGAGGATGGTTCAGGATAAGATTAAGAAAACTAGAAAAATAGGGTTGTTGCCAAGTGGAGGGTCCATTTTGGCAATCTTTTCTGGTTTAAAGTTTGTCTTTTAGACACTAAAATTTTGTTTATATTGTGGTAATTCATAGACATCTACTCTGATAATTTTGATATATTTCCTTGAGTATTTTTTTAGTTTGTATACATTTAATAACAGCTTTCAAAACATATAAAGCAAATAATCAAATTCATAATAATAACTGATAATTTTAACATATTTATTTCAGCAATGATAGACCAGGAAGTTAATAAAATCAGGATATATGAAATTTTAACAGTGATTAAAACCTTGATATCATAACACTATATATGGAAAACTAACAACTTTGTAATACACATTCTTTACATTTGTACATGGAACATTTACTAAAATAGATCTTGTACTGGGCCATAAAGAAAATCTCAACAAATTTCAAAGGATAAAATCACAGAGTAAATTAACCTAGAAATCAATAACAGAACAGTAACCAAAATAATCCAGAAGTCCCAATGGAAATTAGAAACTTTTAAAGTAATTTTTAAAAATATTTATTTATTTTTAGAGAGAGGGGAAGGGAGGAAGAAAAAGAGGGAGAAAAACATTGATATGCAAGAGAAGTATCCACTGGTTGCCCCTCAGGGACCTGGCCTGCAATCCAGGTGTGTGGCCTGAACAGGCACCAAATTAGCAACCCTTTGGTTTGTGGTACAGCTCCCAACACAACGAGCCACACCAATCAGGCTAGAATTATGTTTAACTAAATGAAAATGAAGGCTTCACATATCAATACTTGTATGCAGCTAAAGCAATGCCAAAAAAGAAATACATAACTTTAAATGCACATATTAGAAAGAAGAAAAGGCTAAATATGAAGGATACAAGCTTTTATCTCAAAAGCTAGGCTGAAAAAAACCCCCCAGCATATTAAACCCAAAGAAAATAACAGCAGAAATCAATAAAATAGGAAGCAAATGTACACTAGAGAAAATTAACAAAGTCAAAAGGGGGCTCTTTGAAAACAAACTTAAAGATTGATAAAACCCAAGAAAGGTTAACCAAGAAAAAACAGAAAGAGCCCTGGCAAGTGTGGGTCGGTTGGTTGCAGTGGCGGCTGGTAGCCGGAGGGTTGTGGGTTCTGTCGCCAGTCAAAGCGCACGCCCGGGTTCCAGGTTTCATCCTTGGTCTGTGTGCATGCAGTCCCCATCCTTGAGTATTGTTCTACATTTGTAAAATACAGTTGAATTTATGTGATACATAAAATGTGTATCTTTCTCCCACATTATTTATTTAGCATTTTTCTTTTTTAATTGTTTTGTGCTTTCACTTTCTTATTTATTTTTATTGCGTTTTTTCCATTGCCATTTACCCCCTCACTCCCCCGTCCCCCTTGTTGTCCATGTCCTTGAGTCCCCTTTTCCTTTTTGCTTGGTGCTTCCACCACCCTCCCCCGCCTCCTGCCATAGCTGTCAGCCTGCTCTCTCTCTTACGAGTCTGTATTTAGCTTTATTAACTTTTTTCATGTCAAAGTTAACAGGGGTTTTTTTGGTAAGTTTGCTTTTGTGAATTTGACTTGAAAATTTTCCATTTATTTTTCAGGGGTTTTTCTTGGTCACAGATGAATGAAACAAGATTTTTTTCACAGTACCAAATCTTTTCATTTTAATTGCCTGTTGTAGTTATTCTCATTGGAAAACAAGTTTTGCTTTTACTGTGTTCACACAGTTCAAAACAGGCTCGAAGCCTAAGATGCTGTTTATTAAAACATAAAGACAATACAAACATTACTATCAATTACATATTTTCTTTTCAGGATAAAATGCAGGTTGACCAAGAAGAAGGTCATCAAAAATATCATGCTGAACACACCCCAGAAGAGGAAATTGATCATACAGGAACCAAAACAAAAGTTGGTTTTACTATTCTTATGGTTGCGTCTTTGTGAGATTGATAATTCAAGTTAATATATTTACTTGATAATGCATGCTTCTAATATACTTGGTATTTTTATTCTTATTGCTGTGGAACTGTATAGAAAGCACACAGCCAGGAATAAATACATTTCAAAGATTTATATTATAGAGGATGTTTTAAAGAATGAACTCAGATAATACTACAAGTAAAATTAACTTTTTGGTCAGAAAAATATGTGTTTTTTGGTAACTTCTTTCCTCATTAAAAATCATACAGTCTCAGAGAAAACAGAAAATGGGATAAGCCAAAGGAAGAAAACCTAAATTAGCAATAAATCTACATCTCAAAGTTAACTACTGTAAGCATTTGGCTGCATATTATATTTTTGTGTGTGCAAAAACAAATATTTTTGAAAGTAAAAATTTAAAGGATAAACAACTCTGTTATTGAGAGCCATTGTTTTACTAAGACATCCTTACCTTTCTCATCCTAAACGAGATAAGTCAGACAGAAAAAATCAATCATATGATTTCACTCAGATGTGGGATAGAAAACTGAGAGCAACCAATGAACAAACAAGACAAAAACTCAGACACGGACAACAGAGAAGGGGGTTATGGGGAGGAAGAAAAGGATGAAGAGAGTTAAGTGTATGGTGATGGAAGAAGATGTGACTTTGGGTGGTGGGCACACAATACAACAAACAGACAGATCATGTATCTCAGAAATGTGCCCTTGAAGCTTATAGAATTTTATTAACCAATGTCACTGCAGTATATTTAATTTTAAAAAATGACATCATTGCCAATGAAAGAAGAGAGAGACCCTGCCCCATCACCCAGATAAATGTGGCTACTGCTCTAAACGCTCATCTTCAACAGATTTTCCTAACCTGAACAGAATTTACTCTGTGTTAGTTAGCCACATAAGATTTTTGCCCCAGAGGTTACAAAGGTTCAGTTATAAAAGTTAGGCTCTTTAGGGAAGTCCAAGAGAATCTCCCTCTGTAGGAGGTCCTGAGTATAGGGCTGGCTCTTAAAGGCACGAGAGGACAATAAGGAAAAAAAAAAAAAAAGTTAGGCTCTTTAAAACCTGAAACCTATTTTTCTAAATTTTTAATTTTACCCAATACTTTTTGCTTTTACCAGCTTTAAGACACAGTTTACATACCTTACAATTCATCCATTTAATTCAGTTCAATGGTTTTTAATATATCAAGATCCTTTGTGAACAGCTTCTGTTAATGTTTTCAAGATTCACCCTGGTTGTAGGATGTATCAGTACCTCATTCCTATTTATTGCTGAATAATACTGCGTTGTATGGATGCATACCACATTTCATTTATCTGTTGATGAGCTAATGGACATTTCGATTGTTTCTCCTTTTTGACTATTATAAATAATTCTGTTATGAACAATCGTATACAAGTTTTTGTGTGGATGTATATTCTCATTTTTCATGGGCATGTACCTGGGACTGGAATTGCTGGGTAATATGGTATCTCTGTATTTAATATTTTGAGGAACTGTTTCCCAAAATGGCTACAATATTTTACAATCTTGACAGCAATGAATGGGGGTTTCAATTTCTCCACATGCTCACCAACTCTTGTCATTTTTCATTTTTTATATTCTAGCCATCCTAATGGGTGTGAAATAGCATTTCATTATGGTTTTAATATGTATTTCCAGCCCAGTATTTTTTATGTAGAAAGACTTAGTGTATACACAGTGTAAACTACTATCAGGATTTAAGTAGTATTTTTAAAGATTTTATTTATTTATTTTTAGAGAGGGGAATGGAGGGATAAAGAGGGAGAGGAATATCAATGTGTGAGAGAGACATCAATCGGTTGCCTTTCATATGCATCCCAGCCAGGGACTGAACCCGCAACCCAGGCATGTGCCCTACCAGGAGTCAAACTGGTGACCTTTTGCTTTATGGGACGCCCAACCACATCAGCCAGGGCTAAAGTAGTATTTTTAAATAAAGTGTAGTAAATGATAAGTTTTGTTTGATTTTACTTTTTTGTTTTATCTGAGATTAGTTTTAAATCTATTTTTAAACTAGTTGTAGAAATTTACATTATTATTCTCTTGCATTTCTTTTGCAGTCAGCTTCCTCAGACAAACAAGACCGATTAAACCAGACCATTAAAAAAGGAAGAATCAAGAGTATTGATCTACCTATCCAGAGTAGCCTATGTAGACAATTGGGCCAAGATCTTCTGAATAGCTACATTGAAAATGAGGTATCTAAATCTGAGTTGATGTCGAAATAGGTGGTAGTGTATTTTTAGATTTTTGTAGAAATCAATGATTATTCCCCAAGTGGAGGAACTAGTCTGTATGTCTAAGGAATTAAATAGATTGTTGAACTATTTTATATTAGGCATAATACTGAGCTGTATTAATGTCATGTACAATTTAGTTTTCATCTTAATTATATGAAAAACATTATTACTTAACTATAGGGGAAGACCATTCCGACAGTAATGATTCTTACCCCTTTCTATTGTCTTAGCAGTAACACCCAGGAGACATCATATGGGAAAGTATTAGCAGCTCCCCTCTCCTCTAATGTGTTGTCCTAAAAGATTAAGGATCTATTCAAATGTTTTCTGACTTTCATTTAGTACTTTTTAAAATCTGTTGTTCTTGAAATTTTTTTTACATGTCTAAATGTTTAATTTTAGTCTCTTGAAGAAGAGTTTTGTTTTTTACCAGTAGTTGTTAAGAAGTAATTTATTTTTATTTTTAAAATTTACATTTAAGTAGTGGTTCCCGGTTTCTGTAGGCTTGGCTGGCATTAAAGAAGGTCAGTTTTCTTTGAAGTCCCCTAATATTCTTTCATCTGCTGCACATTATTCTAAGAATTGACTTTATCGTGCTTACTCTTTTTAGTACCTACCTATATCACAGCAATTCATTAATTATTGAAGGCTGCATTTTATGTGAATAAAGCATTCCTGCAGACCCTGATAAATTGAGAATTTGTATGATTTGAGACTAATTTTCCCAAAGGAATAATTGTGGGGAAGCACAACTACGGCAAACTTTGAGTATAGAATTATTTCTTAAGTTTTCAAGTATCTCACTATTTAAAATTCACAAATGTCAGTACACTGAAGTCTTGTGTTTAAAATACTGCTTTTGTTGAAGTGAAAATTTTGTTAAGTATTACAATCCCCAGATTTTTTTTTGCTTTTGATTATAACAATAATAATTTTTGCTGACATCTTAAAACACTTTGATAGCTTATTTAATCCTCAAAATAACCCTATGACATGTATGTAATGCTAGAGATCTACATTTTACAGACGAGGAAACAGGAACAGGTAAACTGAATCGCCCAAGGGCAGAGAGTAACCTTTCCTTTGAATCCAGGTAGTCTCTCCCCAAAGCTCAAGATCACAACCACTATATTATAATCCCTCCCCAGGGTAACATCTTTTTCAGCACCAGATGTGCCAGGAGCTGGACTAAATATTTTCCGTGTGCTGTGTCAATTTTCTTAACATCCCTATGAGCTAGATCCAAGTGTGGTCTCTAATTTAGGATAAGAAAACTGAGGCGGAGAGGTTAGGTGGCTGTCCTGAGATCTCATAGCTAATAAATGGGGAGCGAAGGATTCGAACCTGAGTATGTTCAATGACATAACAGTCTGAGTGGGTGTTTTTAATAAACTTTAATCTAGTTTCTGTCTCTGTGAATTGGCCTATTTTAGATGAATGTGATTATATAATATTTATTGTATAAATATAATGATGCAATATTTGTCCTTTTGTGTCTGACTTAATGCACTTAGCAAAGTATTTTTAACATTTATCCATGTTGTAACATCTATCAGAACTTTTATAATAGAATAATACTCCACTGTGTATGTATACATTTTATTTATCATTAATCTGTTCATGGGCAATTCAGTTGTGTCTACCTTTTGGCTATTATGCATAATGCTGCAGTGAACATTGGCATACAAATATCTGTTTGGGTTCCTGCTTTCAGTTCCTTTGGAGATATATCAGTAGTGAAACTGCTGGGTCATAATTGTAATTCTTTGTTTAGCTTTTTGAGGAAACTCAAAACTGTTTCCTGTCACAGTGGTAGCATTTTACCTTCCTGACAGCAATGTACAAACGTTTCAAATTCTCCACATTCTCATCAGCACTTTCTTTTATATTTTGGTTTAGTCATCCTAGTTAGGTATACAGTGATATTTCATTGTGGTTTTGGTTTGCATTTCCCTAACTCCCTAACATCCTTAATGGCAACTGATCTGAAACTTTTTGAATAGGGAAAAATGATAATGCAAGATAAGTTGGAGAAAGAAAGAAATGATGCTAAGAATGCTGTTGAAGAATATGTTTATGATTTTAGAGACAGGCTGGGCACTGTCTATGAAAAATTCATCACTCAAGAAGTAAGTCTAAATTTTACAATTTTAGAACTACTTAAGTATTTCCTTGAGACTGCTAATAAAAACTATGTAAATGTATTAAATGCATGATTGTCAGTCTTGTTGAGCACATTTATGAGTGGTTCTTAGTTATTTTTCCAATTTGCAGAAGTATGAGGAAGAATATGTTTATGAATAAAAAGTCAGATCAATGTGAAATTTAATTTTTTATACTTGAAAACATTGTGTCCTTCACTGATGACTTTTATTTCTAAGGAGAGCATTTCTTAAATGTATATTTAGGACTTGAAAAAACTGTCTGCAATATTGGAAGACACAGAAAATTGGCTTTATGAAGAAGGAGAGGACCAACCTAAACAAATTTATGTAGATAAGCTTCAAGAACTAAAGGTAAATTGTTTATAGTCCCTCTTAGTGTTAAGTAAAACATTAGTTCTCTGGTTTAAGAGCACACTGTATTTTTTTCATAAATATGTATGAAATTTCTAAGGCAGATATATGTAAGGGGAAATGTTCTTTCTCATTTTAAAATCATTTTGAGAGGTGAATAATGCTACATTTAATTGAAAGAAAATAATGTGTAATCATATTTTCTATCATGATACTCAGATGTAAATATTTATAAGATGACCAGAGTGTTAGTGTTACTTTAACAAGCCATGTATTTCTGAGATGTCATTAAGAAGTGATTTGTCAGCCGGACCCCCCTTATCAGAGGAGTCACGCTTCCTCAGCCTCTCTCCTCCTTCACTGCTCTGATATGGAAGGGTAATACAATGCCTGCCCTTTTGTATTTTCACATTGCAACTGATGGGGACACCTGGCCAGCAAAAAACCCACAATAGTAGGACCTGTGCTCTTTGAGTATCCTGCAAAGAAATAAGAAGTGGTCACAAGGTTCCCTTTTTCTAGGTCAGTGGTATAATTTTAAGAGAAGACCACTTATTAATCCTTCCCTCCTCCTTACTACTGAACCCTGCCCCTATCGTGAAAAAAACGGTTTGATTAGAAGTTCAGACTGGCAGGATGACAGAGAATTGTAGTCTGTCCTTCACTGGTGTGGATCATAGCAGTGCTTTAATGTGCACATGAATTACCTGGGGCTCTTATGAAATGTAGATTATGGTTCAATATACAGAGGTGTGTCCATGATTCTAAGAAATTCTGATGCTGCTGGTCCCTGAACCATTCTTTGAAAAGCAAGGGAATACCTCTACATGCTAAGAATTGGCATTAATAAGGATTTCTAGAGTATGGGAAAAAGCAACGCATTAACTGGAGAAGAGAGGGGCTGTAAAAAAGTGTATTAAAAGCAAAAGAGTTAATATCTTGCAACAATTACTTTCATGCTAATAAATTACTTCCAAAGGGAATAATTCGAAAGTAACTAGAAAAACTAAGCTTATGATAGCAATACTAGGCTTTATCATATTTTATCTTCTTGGTGGTTTTACTCCCCATTTCCCTAAGAGGATGTATGTATTATGGGCCATAAGGACAGCCAGTCAACTAAAGCCAATAGAAATAACTGGAAAAGCCTAGAAGCCCCCAAAATGGATATTCGTCTCAAATATATAAGTAACCATTAAAAAATGAATGTTAACAGGATTTTTATAGGCTCTACTATCGTTTTGAG